CCCCCCCCCCCCCCCCCCCCCCCCACCTCCCGCGCTGGGGATCGGCTTCTCCCTCTCAACCAATCAAGCGTGACGCGATTTAAGCCTCCCGCCGCTGCAGGTGAACTCCACGAGAATAGATTTATGAAAATGTTTAACTTTTCCCTGTAAGATTGCTCCAGGCTCTCTGTCCTATCTCAAACCCAATCAACCAAAACGCTCCATTTCTCTCTCTTTGTCTTTCCTCTTATCCCCCGTATCTTCTCGCTCTCTCCCCCCCTCCCAAGTCAGCCTGTCCCCACTGTGTCTCTCCATTGCACACTATCACACCTTTGGCCTCACCTCCCAGAACTAGGGAAATAGGGATGACAAATCTTTCCTCTCGGTAGGGATTGCTGGAGGGATTTCTTTCATTGATGGTGGCTGATTCTTTCGTGCTGTGTTCCACGAAGGCAATGCTCCCCTTTACTCTGCTTTCTCCTCGCAGCAAGCATTGAGCTTAAATGCTTATACCCGTGGTTTTGGGTATGAACAGTGTGCTTATGTTGCTAAACAAACATAAATACTCTATTTTCGCAATCTTTTTTTTCTGGGGGGCACAGACGAAATAAGCAACATGACAGTCAGTTGAGTTTTCTGATAAATGGCCTCGTGCGCTCCAGTTGTTTTGACAGAGGGCAATAAAAATAGAAGAAGATCGAGGGAGAGAATGGAGGGAAGATGACAAGATATGGTGTTTGTCTGATCCTTGAGAGGGGAGAGGTTTCATTACCTGCGGGACTTCAGCAGAGGATGTCTCGGCGGTGGCGTATTTTTTTATTTTTTTCCTCGCTGCTTGTCACAATTGCGGCGCTGCTACAGATACTTCTGTGCTTTTAGTCACTCAGGGTTTTCAGCAGGACCAGCAGGGGCCAGACAGCCCAGGAATCAGCAGTGATGGATGGTTGTGTCGGTCCTGGAGGATGGAGGGGTCGCCGGGGTTCACGGCGGTGATGGAGACACTTCCCTGCTCGGCCCCAACGACTTTTTTAATTAACCTCTTTGGGAGGACCGGCCTCTTCCTTTAGAGGTAATCACAGCCCGGAAAGTCCCTTCATTCGGACTTATCTGACCTCTGCGTGTCCGGTTGTGTTCGCGGTGTCTGACCCTACATCCTCCACCTCACATTCAGTGCAGTAATGGGCACCGCCACACAGAAAGGGAGACACTGGCAGTGAATGTACCGAGGGAGCCCTTTCGGAGTTTCAATTCTCTGTAACCTCTCTGTTTCCGTGTTCACACACCTCGCTCCATTCATCCCTCTAATTCTCCCAGCTAGAATTCGCTCTATTTCACAGCGAAGGCAACTTCGTTGATCCCACCAAGAGACATTCGCAGTTTAACAGAGAATCAGGCAAGGCTTGCCAGATGCCGCTGCACTTTTCCTCGTCTCATCTCTCATTTTCTCCTTTCTGCTCTCACTGTAGACCTTGTGGCCTCATTATGGACAAACCGACAAGAAAGATAGACAGAAATAAAATGTATCCTATTTTTCACATTAGACTTCTAAAGGGACAAACAGGCCTCAGTGCTCCTTAGGGGAAGTGAACCCCTCTGAGTGATGCCCCAGAACAACCAGATCAAACGCCTCTCCTGCGGCTCCCCGCCTTTATTTCATCTCTCTATTTTGGTTTGCCTTCTTTCATGTTGGGGAACAGTGGCTTAAGTGGCTCTATTGGAGCTCTCTGAGGGGCTCTCAAATGAAGCTCGTGTGAACTCGGGGAAATAAATTGGTTTGTTCTGAAGCTGCGAGGCCCGTGGCGCCCCCTGCTGTTCGCTCTGTGATCCGTGCAGCGTCCGATGGCGGCAGGAGAGGTCAAGACAAAAACAAAAGGACTGGGATGAGTTACGCAACTTGCTTTGCTGGAGCATTTGCATTTCATCTCAGTCGATGTGAGTTGTATACATGCTAAGTGAACACTCTACATTTAATGTATTCACAATGGAAGGAGGAATATGAATAGAGAAATGCATGGACCCACAACTCCCCCATGTGGACGTCCTTTATAAAACCCCTTTTTGAAAAGCTTCAGTGAGCTGACTTCTGATACTTTGACACATCCTGTTGAATATTCCAACTTATTATAACCAACAAACATATTACTGATATACTGACTTTCTTCTTCTCAACTAATCCATCTTATACGTATAGTTTCCCATCATACTTCTGTACTTGGCCAATGGAATGCCAAGCAGAGTGTTTGGTTGGTTTGCTCTCGCTTCAACAATCCACCTTCTGAATTATTCATATTTCTTGAAGATTCCCTTTTCTGTGAATCTTCCTCATTCCCATGCATCCTATAGCAGGGTCCTTGGCTTTTCTATTTAGCTTAACTGACAGTTGCTTTACTCGCCGTGTGTGACGGTGATGTGTGTGAGCTGTGTGTGTGTGTGTGTGTGTGCGGTGCCACACCAGCAGATCTGTGTGTCGACATGAGAGGATCAGCGAACAGGAGGATACAGAGACTTTCTCTTTGGCTCCGCGCCTCTGCATGTTTGTTTCTGTGCTGTTCATCTGCACATGTTTTCCTCTCGTTACAGAGTAATCAGCGCGTTCATTGTGAAAACAAACACACATCTGTGTTGTTCAGGTGCGAAGTGTTGATTATGCTCTGCTACTCAAAGCTCCTTCCTCTCCTGCTAAAAAGACTAATCGCAGTTATAATAGTTTGCAACAAGTGTCCCTTAAACGTTATCATTCACACAAATGGTGTCTTTGAAACTTTATCATCTGGGCATTTAAAGTTTACAGCTCACTGCAGCAACTAAAGAGCTTATAATGGTGTAGTTGCTGTGTTGAGGCTTTGTGGAGACTGATGATTGTGCAGTTGTTCGTTTCTTTCACATAAATAATAAGGGATATGTGGATCTCATGCATTGTGTTGTATTGATTTGTTCTGTTCCAGACAGAAGCCTTGTCATTTATAAAACATGTCAACATAATGTCACAGTAAACCAGAACGAATGAAGGCACTGGAGAAACTATTGGGACATTTTACTTCAACCGTGTTGACTTCCTCATATTGTTTAGGCTCTTCAATCCCCCTCTGCTGTACCTGAAGGAATAAACATTGCCAAATCAAGCGTCGGACTCCATTAATACTCCATTATGTATAAAGGTATTAGTGTGTGAAACATTCCCATTGATTGAATACAAGAAAGTTATGTTACTTGGTCTAAATCACAACACTAGTGTATTTTCATGCCCACTGCTGAAGGACATTCTTATAAAACTATTATCATTCTTCTCATTTCGTGAGTTCACCGCTTTAAATTGCCGCCCTGAGCCCGGAGCGTTTATACGGTAAAGGCACGAACCTAAGCCGATTATGACCCGGACCACGGAGGGCAGGGCGGAACGAAGGTGAACCGGCAATTTTATTGGTCACCGGCGTGTCAGGAAGTGTCAAGCAACCAATTGAACGGCGCGGAGATTTATCTCTTGCCTTTGACAGTCCGACCCTAAAGTACGTGTCAACACAATGCACTTCCTTATTATAAAAGAAAGAAGGCAATGACTTCCCTGAAGATTCTTTCCCCCCCCCCTCTTTCTTTCACAAAGCGGCCGTTTGATCGCGGGCTGAATGACGGAACGCGAATCCTCCTCGGAGAGAGTCTCAGCGGATTTCTGAACGAAGTGCGTCCCTCTTCCCGTGCGCACCAGCCGGACCGGACTGCGGGAGATGACATTTGTTGCGACTAAAAGGATGGAGTGGCTGCTCCGACGCGTTAAAGAGGCTGTCTTCCTCTCTGCGTTTCGATCGGTGCTGCTCATGTCATGCTTGGTAAGAAGAGCTGCATTGTGTCATGATCAATTTTAATCATTTCTCATTTGAAAACTTTGAGAAAAAAAAACTCCAGTGATCCACAAGGCGATGGAATTTTCTAAATTGCTATTGATTGTATTTATTCGACCAGAGGCTATTTGTGTAGGATGAGCCGTGTCTGGCTGTGATGCTGTGCGGAGAAGTAGGACGGATTATAAATTGGTCACTGCGTCCAAACCCAAGGCCTATACTCATTTATCTGTGACAGACAGCGCCAAATAATAAGAGGATAAATACTGAATCCAATCCAAACATGGCAATCCTTTCAGAGGCCAGCAGATAATTGAATTGAGTTATAAATGTGCATCATCCAAACATCGAAGAAGCCAAATGTCCAAATCATTTATGTCAGATGTAAAAACATCAGCCCGGGATGCTCTTAAAGTCTGTAAGGTAACTCTTCAACATTTCAACACATTGAGATGTCCCTTATTGCACCCGACCCCCTTCTGTAGCTCTTGGTCCTGTCCGTGTCCATGTATCCTGGGCTGTGGTCCATTGGGGTCCAGCTTCATTCAGCCCTCACAGGGAGCTATGTGCCAGGCCACCACTCTGTTCTTCTCATCAACAGTCCCACCGAACAGGCAGCCAAGGACATCGGCAGGTACAGTAGTGACTCCAGGTTTCACCTTTTACAGTCTGCCTCACGCAACTGTAGCCCTCGAAAAAATACTAAAACGAGTATGAGCTAAATTTGGAATCAAATGGTTAAATTTGTTAACTGATTCATCAGCTCAAATACATCAAAGGGAATTGTTCCACATGTTGGGACCTCTAAAGCTCACTAACATGTAATCTTATGTCTTGGAAATGAGTTAAAGTGATAAAAAGTCAGAGAAGCCAGACAGAGAGAGTAAGTTTGACTTTTCTATCTGGAGGAGAGATACAGTGCTGTCAAACCCACAACTGGTAGAGCGCCGTGTTTGCACTCTCTTCCCCTTTTGTTGGCATTTTAGCTGCATGTAAACAAGCTCTATTTACCACATGTCAAGACTGAAGGAAGTGGTGCACGGTGCAGGTGCAAGACCACTGCCTTCAGAGGCACTGGTAAGAAGAGGTGGCACGACTCAGTTGGTATTAAACTATAATAGCAGCTGAGCAGCAGCAGAAAACCGAGTTCAACATTTATTTTCTGAATAATTGTGCATAAAAGTCCTTTCCTGTGGTCTGCTGTGAAGAGCAACGTGATAAAAGAGCAAAGTTTAAATGCTGTAATCAATAAGCAGCTGGTGGCTCGTAAAAGTAAAAATGTTTCTTTCCTCTCTTTCCATATCCACCCCCTCCGTGTCCGTCCTACCATTCTGCCTTTTTTTCCAGGGCGATCATGGAGAGGCGGCTGGCAGCCAGCATTAACATTCTCTCCAGGACCTCCACAATGTAAATCATATTTTCCCTCCACCTTGACACAACATTGTACCCGGCAGGGGCGCCAACACAAAGGCTATAGCTCTGTTGTTCTGTCCCTCACATGTGCAGAAACTTGTGTGCACTTAAACACAACGTGTTCTTTTTCTCTGCACCACTTAGCTGGTTAACAAGGAAACCACAAGCTGAATGCACCGTATCTCGATGCTTTTATCAGTTTTCCCATCACTCAAAACTGAGTGGCAGTTAGCCTTCGAAGCGGTTTAGTTTATATGCATGAATGAGCTTTCCTGTTAATGCATAAACCACAAGTTTAACAAAAGTGGAAGTTGAACTCAGGGTGGAGAGGATGGACGGTAATAGAAAAGGAGTTTCTGTTATATCCAGGTTTATTTAGTCTTACACTTCAACATTTATTTTGACATTTCAAATGTGTTAATATGGGCTCTTAGTTTGTCTTTCACAATCCTTTAGAAAAAGCATCATGTTTAAAAGCAAAGAGGCAGTTATGCATCTGACACTATAAAAGCCTCTCTGGTACAGTTTGACAGTCTTACTCTGAGTCACAGCAGCCATAATGAATGGTTGGCCAAGGTTTGATTGATGTGTTATTTCAGAAAATACAGTCATTTATGAAAATGATTTTACTTAATTGTGCTTTTCAGTCCCTCGTGCTTTACAGTCCATCATGTACTCGTGTGCTACATGGTGCAGTTCTAATGTCTTGGGTCTTCTGGTTCTTTAGGTACTATTGGAAAGGAGAAATCCAGGATGCCAGTGAAGTTCTGATGGTGAGCTTACTGATAAACACGTACTGAACAGGAATGCTGGAATAGAACGCGGAAGTGTAAGATGAGATGTCACTGTTGTTGCAGCTGGTGAAAACAAAGACCTCCAGGATTCAGCAAGTCATAGATTTTGTGAGGTGAGAGATTGCTTTATGTAATGGATATCTCCGATTGTTGACAACCATGCAATGCTTAAGGTGTGCGTGCTACTGTAGACATGCTGTAAAGGTTCAATGCAGTTACTTTCAACTTGGACCTTATTGTGTACTTGAAATTACTCCATGGTAGTTCTTCACAACCTCCAGTGGGCCACTGCACTGGTGAACAAAACCAGTCACTGTGATCAAACAATCGTTTTATTCATGGAAAAAAAAGCATATTACCTAATATATATCAACACGTTATCACTGCCCAACTCTTCAAATACCGCAGCTTGATCGGTGCCCCTCGGTGGCTGATATCGAGGCACCCTCTAGTGTCTGTATGAGACGCATCGACTTTCATTAACTCCAATGTAAACCCATCCGCGTCATTGTTAACAAGGTCAGAGCACCAGACGTTGTATTAAGAGCGAGGAACTGGGAGGTGGGTGTAGGTGTGTAGGTGGGACGGAGGAGAAGGAGAACAGGATGCTTCAGCTTCAACATATTTTTTAGATGTTAGACTTTAAGGAAAATGGGAAATCTCCTCTGCTTTTGTTCAAAGTGTTTGATCAAGAATGTAACCACATCTTTATAGAATTGCAGAAGATAAACTGTATACTGATCTCACATATACACGACTTGAAACAACTATTACACTGCAACAACATCCAATAACCATGATGAGTAAATCATCTATATTTCTGCTCATTTGACCATTTGTGATTGCAGCATCAGACGGTTAGACTTGTGGATATGCCAAGCTGTCATGGCATCTATTTGCGTTGGAAAGTTCAGGTTGAAAATAATTGGAATTCGTAGGAATCCGAAATGGTTGCTGCTTCCCACTTGGCTACAGTGCAGATGCTCTTCTCACTTGCTCTCTGTTATTTTGGGCACTTTTTCATACTTCTTCCTACTTGTCTCAAACTACAAAACATTTAAGGACGTTTCCTTTAAACTGAACTAGAAGAGACTTACATGGACAGCTACCTGTAAATGACACCATACCTTTCCCGAGACTCACTGAGACAAAAGCAGTGGATTCATGTGCTGTGAGTGGGATTTCTACTTGCTGGGACGATCTGGCAGCAAAACCTAAAGATTATGCGAGACTGTACTCCCAGGGAGGGCAAATATACGAGCTCAGCTCAGCCAACTTCGACTGAGGACATCTGGCAGTCAGCCAAAAGGTGGGCATAAAGACCGACCACTGTCCCTCCGACATTACAACTCGAAAACAGGTTCAAAACATTAATAAATCTCTTTGAGCAGAAGGGAGACGATAAAGTCTCATGTGAAGGAGACGCCGTTATCAGAGACGTAAGCGGTTAAATATCCAGGAGCTAAGATTTGTGACATGAAAGAGAAGAATCCTTATCTGATAAATAAACACCAAAATGAATCATATTATTCTACATGTGGGGGCGAAGGATATTCACAGAATATATAAATCAGGACTTCATTGAACTGTTTAATTGTCTGGACGAACTGGAAGGGCAGCTTTTTATCAGCGGACCACCGCCAGCATTCATCAGAGGGATTAACGGGTTCCACGGAGTCTTATCACTGAACACATGGCTTGGCAACTGTATTGATACCTTCAATCTGTTCTGGGGCTGTAGGCGGGATCTGGACTTACAGTACTGATGGACCGTTTTCTGCTTCAGCACCGCAACATCCGTCAGCCAGGCCTGAGTTGATGCAATCGGACACACAAGCGGCATCGGCGCCACAAAGACAAAACGCCACAGACTCAATGTCAGCGTGTCAGTCTCCTCATACCTCCTCCCTTCACTCTCCCTTGCCCATGTTGGTATTCACCATTAGTGAATCTGTTTCCAGTCTTTCTGCTCTTCTTCTGGACTGCATATTCCTTTTCCTGTTTTGATAAGTAGTAGAAGGAACAAAATGCACTCGACTAAATCTGCTATTACAGTACATTTTATTTGTAATCATTACTTTAAATTGTCAAAGACAACTTCAGTTTTACGAGTTCAACAAGAAGAAAGGAGGGGGAGTTGCCATTTTATTTAATAATTCTTAAACATCTACAGGCCACCCTAATATTTAAACTGTTATGGATGACTTTGCTGAACTGCTGTCCATCATCCGCATTGCCTTGGACTGCGTGGTTATTGATGGTGATTTTAACATTTCACGTCCGCAACCCCCAGGACAGCAGCACCAACTAACTGTGTCGTTTTCTGGATGAACATGGACCGACTCCGCATGTGATGGAGCGCACACACAATAAGGGGCTCGCTCGGGACTTAATCATGTTGAGCCTCTCAACATTTCTCTGGTTGTGGTGACTGATGTTGCCCTTTCTGATCCTTCCCGCATTTTTCTTTCACAGTCTGTCACGTTGCACAAAACATGTTCAAGCAGTTAATCATGAAACAGCATATCGCTATATACACCAGTGAATTATTCATTTATTCAAAGTATAAAAAAAGAGACTGTCAATAATGACATCCATAAAGAGAGACTTTACATTTATAATTTAGAACGGAGAACCGAAACGCAGTCCTCCTTCTCCTGCATGACAGCCAAATGCAATAATAATGCACGTGACTTATTTGATATGTTGACCGGCTGACAAACCCTCCTGTATCAGTAGGCCCTGGCCTTTTAAATTATGCAATGAATGCCTCCTTCTTCACTGACAAAACAGTCAAATGAGACAAGCTGTCAGTTCCTCCACATCAGGTGTAGCGTATGTATTGGCCTAGCGTGCCCCTTAAAACAAACTCAATTAACATGACACAATTTGATCCCATCAACCACATAAGCTTTTGACATCGTGCACCATTTGAGATCCTCCTCTTGCTGCTGCTTTGATTATCCTGCATGCCGGCTTTTTCAACAAAGTTAGGGGATCAGATCAGATCTGCAAGGAACACTTCTCTGCTCCCAGGCTATTTCCCGCAGGCCCTGCAGTTATTTAGTCACTCTAAATAAAACAGTTTAAATCCTCGCTAATGAGCAATTGTAAGCCTAAATCAAACTTTCTGTTTTTTTAATGAAAATCATTTAAAAGGCTGTTTTTCAACTGCTTCACACCTTCCTAGTACGAAACAATTGTTTGGATGTTTTCTAGTCAGCATTCCAACCACAGCACAGAGACTGTTAAGGTCTTAGATGACATCCATTTAAACACAGACGGTGGAGAAGTTTCAGTCTTATTATTAGATCTCAGTGCTCAGTGATGACCTCAACATATTATAGACTGTAAAACTGAATGGGACTTTCTTCCATCACCTTTGAAGGGCATGGATTATATCCATTCAGGGCTCATCTGTTCAACATCCGCATGCTCCCACGAGCACAGATTATTGAAAACAACATAATATCTTACCATAATAATAGAGAGGACACACAGATGTCAATAAAGAGATCACCAGATGATTGGTTATTTTTTGTCTCGGACTGATATCATTTAGTGTTCATCTATATGAAGTAATTCTGCATCTTATCTGACATGCTTGTGTTTGCGCGGGTCCCTTTCAGGTCTGTCCACCCCTATGCAAACCCAGAGGTCCTCAGCTTCCCGGTGGAGGACGGCAGTCTGGCGTACATGAAGTGGATGGATGAAGCCATTCCGGACGACTGATACACCGTTGAAGTCGAAGCCAATCTCTGCATGGACTGCAGCCGAACAAGGACACTGAGCCACGCGCACAGTCTGTTGTTTGACGGCTTTGGATGGAAGGATTCGGAAAGCATACATTAATGCTATTTTGTTATTTTGACCTTTTCATTGTTAATTCCCCTTCGTACTGTGGAGATTTGATTTCAGTCCTTTAAAGAGCTTTGTACCACAGTCATAGACAATACTTGCTTCTGATTGACTGGCAGGTGTCAGCTAGCATTTTATAACAGGGTGCTTCAAGCTTCCCTTTTCGACCGGTCAGTTTTAAGGCAAAGTATATTTTTCCGTCGGTAAACTCCATAATACTACTTCTGCTTTGTGCCGGGGTGGTCACAGTAAACTCTCACTGGTTAAACGGACACATAGAAGCTTTTTTAAATAGAAATCTGCATTTACATTGCTGCCCCTCTTATACAGATAACACTGTAATATCAGTCATCTTTGCGTATTTGCATTTGATAAAACAAGCCCTCTCGTTCTGCTTTTCATTTATGTATTCATGTAAGATGGCATCACTTATGTAGGCAGGTTTAACATTATAATAGTGTGTGCATATTGATGGCGTGACTAAACAATACTGATAAATATTGTAATAGAGTAATTGGTATAATAGTCATGTACCGCCTGGTATTGAGCATAACATTGCCCGTACTATAACAATCCACCTACAGTTCTGTAGATTATTGATCCATCGGGCTGTGGAAGAGTTTCCTTTATTGAAACACACAACTGTTGACCTTGTGTACTGTATTTACAAGTAAAAAGGCAACACTGCTGAATGTCAGCACCACTTTGCTCCAGGTTAGCTCAGTTTGAACAAATAAAACCTCAAATAATGCCACACAGTACTACTGAGGATAAATGAACAAATGGATACCACTGACAGCACCAGGCGTGATTGTACATCTTGAACCCGTCTCTCACTTGCATTTCTAATGACCAATTATGAAGCTTCATTGTTTGTTTTGCTTGCATCTTGAAGAACTGATGCTGATCTGATCAGGTCTCCCTTGAATAACACATCCTTGATCTCCACAGGAACAGTCTTGCCTAATGAAACTTAAATTGAATCACAAGAACAAACTAATTTGTTACTCAGCCTTCGGCTACACGTGCACACCTTGAGAGCATCACAGGTCTTGTTATCTGGATTCTTGCTTTGACAAATAATGATTGGAAATAGAGTACACGACCACGGAGGTTTAATTCATTACATTTCAAAAATAACTTAACATTCTAAATGAGATCAGATTCGCCACCATGCCTTATTTGTGCTTATACAGGTCAGCCATGCACGCTTACCGCACTAAACAAAAATGCGCACTCGGTCTGCAGAAAGTGTTTCCGGCATGAGGCCCCAACAAAAGAAATGCCGACACCGTTCAGTCGGGAGTTGTGTCTGTGGAGCCAAAATAATCCTCCCCATCAGGTCCGGAGATCAGGCCATTTGGTGGCAGTGTGTGTGTGTGAGTGAGTGTGTGTGGGGGGGGTTTGTTACTTCAATACACGATGTACCCATTCACAGCAATGTGCGTGTACATGCCATGTCTGAATGTTCCATACATACTAACAGATGCCTCCGTGAGTACTTAGGGCCGACTGTGTGAATTAAATATTGCAAAATAAATGCTGCAATTTGATTAAATGTTCACTAGATGGTGGTGTTTCAATACACATGAAAACATGCCACTGTTACCAGTCGTTCACATGTGGTCCCCATTGACATAATGCAGGCAGCTTTTTGTCAGAAACTATTACAAAAACACAATTCACTCAGTCGCCCAATTTAAATCGTCTACCTAGAGAGCAGTCTTTCTCTTTGACTTACTACTACATGAGGTTCAACCTTATGAAGTGGGCTTATGAAGATGAATACCACTTCGTATATGAGGTTTCTTTTCCACATATTGGTATCATTATTAATGGCAATTTCCAACGAGCACAGAGCACTGGTTGCTGTGCTCCAACAGTTCGTCTGAACCTCTCTGTACTCCTGTTGAGATCTTTTATACAGTACATTCAGTCCAAGCTTAATTGGTTAAAACAGCTAAAGAAATATCATCGCTATATGAATATCATGTAACTTGTGTAAACACAGAGACATATGCTTAGAGACGCTGGCTCTTTTTTTTCCTCCCTGTGTGTCATCAAATTCTCCACGGGATGCAGGATAATTAAGAATAAGCTGTAAGAAACAGACGCTGATAGCATGCTCCCACTGAGAGATTCAATAAACGGAGGATGACACTCATGCAGCTATCTGTTCTAGCAAGGCAAGGTGGTGATGGTGCTTTTTCATCAACTTGCATAAATTGCAGTCACTGCAGTTTGACAGTAATACTAATCAAGAAAAGTAGCTTATATGAATCTATTCATCACAGCATGCCTGGCTTTTTCTTCAGTTTACTTTGTGTTGCATTCATAGACGTTGTCCTGTAGTGTTGTCCAACAGTGCTTGTTTTATGGTCTTCACATTGCAGTGCTGACATAGGTGAACAGCAACTGTGAGTAACAACTCAGAGACTATGCTTTTATCATTCTGCTCGTTTCACAGTAACAATCATCTCGATATTTACTTCCCTTTCTGTAAGTGATCCCACTGTCCCTTTTTTCTCTTGCCGCCATTAAATGATCCAGAACCTTGTGAACAAGTACAATACAACACGGTGTGCAAGAAGGAGCTGATCAGGGTGAAAACATTGAAGCTCGGGGAAATATTTTAGCGGCAGGCAGTTAACTAATGGGCTGGGAGGAGCAACTCCAGGCAGAAAACTGCTCTTTCCCCGGGAGGTACGACTTGATTATACAGCATCCCAGATCCACTTCCAAGGGCAAATGGGCTACTTTTTTTAATCTGAATGCATATTTTAGAATCAAATTATATCTTTTCTGCATTCTTAAGAGTTTTGTTATATGAAAAATGAAATGAATATTGAATAATATGCCGTCACAGTAGCCCAAGATGAGACTGAGAGTGCGCTTTTATATTTAACGTAGCGTGGCTCCACTGGCCACAAGGCAGCCAAAGCTCTGAAAATGGACATGGGGCATTGAAGTGATGCCAAGGGGGATAACTGACCAGATTAATCTCTTCCTTAAGTCTCAATTATTGAGTCCAAAACGTCTCACATTAGTTGTTTGTGAGGGTGAATAGGGACCGTCTGTGAAGTCCATGGATAAAGTTATTGCTCCTTGCATGCATACTGACAGATGTGTAAGGATGCATAATTACACTGTTTTGGAAAAAAAGATAATAGTGCAAACCAGACCTGGTATCATCCAGGCGGCAACCTCCCGTTCTCAAACAATAAGCCGTTGCAGAAATACCTTAAACTTGCATTCATTCTAACGGCCATCAGGGGGTGACGCGTCTGGTTGCAAAAAGAAGTCTAATTGTATAGAAGTCTATGGGAAAATGGCCCTACTCCTCACTTGATTTATTACCTCATTAAACATTGTAAAACATGAGTTTATGGTCTCAATCGTTAGTTTCAAGTCTTCTTTAATACAGCATGATGTTCATTGAGTAAATTATGGTCCCATTTAAAGTCAAATTGACAGTTAATCGGTGTATGCTTTAGGGCGGAGCTACCTTTTGATTGACAGGTCGCTACCACAGTGTTATCCGTTCTGGGACTTTCAAAGTGTGTTTTCAGTTCATGTAAGTATATTTTAACATTTTGTTGGCCTCAATATGTCTTGTCCAGCGTTCAGTTGTACTTAGCTCCACCCTGCTGTGTGACTTCTGCTTCCAAAAATGCAAAAATCCGTCGCCATCAAGGCTTCAAAACGGTCGTCGACAGACATCATGGTGACTACGTCCACTTGTTATATACAGTCTATGGAGTCATCTAATGGCTATGGGGTTTTGATCAAGTAAGAAAAAAAGACTCATTCATTCATCTTCATCTAACACGCAGTCAAGGACAACATCATTAAGAACACTAGTGTTTGAATTTCTGGTCTGTTACGTAGACACGGTGGCATTTTGCCACTGGCTGCAAGTTCAGTAAAGATAAGATCTCTGACACACAGCCAAACTGATGTTGTGGTACATGCAAGCTTTGCAAGGTTACGCGGAAGGGGCGGAAGGGAGGGACGAGTGATGGCTCAGTGCCTGAGCGAGTAAGCCTACACCTCCTCTTCTTCAACCTCCCCGGATCCCTCCCTCCCTCAATGCTCCTCCCATCTCCCTGCCTCTGTGCACCTCATAAATCACCATCTGCAGTACATGTGTTTGGTGTGAGACCTACACACTCGGAGCAAATGAGAACGAGAAAGAGAGCAACTGAGGATGTGATTGGAGACACTTGGCGAGGTAATGAAGAAGCCAATTTCCTTCTCCCATACCTTGCTCCTGGCTCTGTTGCTCGCTCGCTCACTCACTCCCTGAGCTGCTACACGGACTCCGTCATCAAAACACACAGTGAGGCGTGCTGGCTTGCTCACATTCTGTAGCTTGTGGACACACACACACACCACACACACACACACACACCACACATTCACACTGTCTCACACTGGAGGCAACATTCAAGATGCAACAGCAAGAGAGAATGTCTTCTGATTCCCTGTCAGGTAAATGCAAAAACTGAATGTGTATCTCTGTCATTCCTTTCCCTTTCCTGTCTCATTATCCATCTTGTTTCCCCTCCTTGTTTCACTGTTACATTAAATGACACACATTGTTATTTTCTCTCTCTGTTGTTTGCCTGGCTTCTCTCTCCCCATTCTCCCTCTCTGTATCCGTCTGTCCATGTTCCTTTTTGCGTGGCTCTCTTCCTCTTACGTTTGCTCATGAGTATGTGTTGTGCTACAAGAGTTGATGACCATGATGATTGTTATTGTGGGAAAACAGGAGGTGTACCTTTTTCCATATGGCAGTGCTGGAGGGAGTACATTAAAGGTGGAGCAGCTCCTGCTACTACAACTGCCTCACACCCAAAGCACAGCTGTGCAAGTACATATGGGCTGGAGAATGTTGCATTCTTCTGACCCAGATACAATGACAAAGCTTGTGCTACTTTAGCTGGGATGCTTGTTTTCCTTAAAATTACACCATGGTTATGTTTGAGCTGATTGTCATATGTGTGTGTGTTGGTATGAGTGTCCTCAGACAGCACAATGTGCGTGCTGGATATTCAGTTCATGTAAGACATTTAAAAAGTGAGAAATCGAGGCAAGTGGCGTGGTTTGTTGAACAGTGGAAGAGTCTGCGGTTGGCCCGTAGAGGCGCATAGTTGATGATGACGATCCTGCTGGGGAACTAGACTGTCCACACAGCTTTCATTGGTTATGTAATTCATTTGATTGGAGCCTGTGAAGTTAACCTGGAAGGTTGTTGGTCAAGGTGTGTTTGTTGTGAGGATTATAGCATTTAAAATCAGGATTATAGCGAGAACTTGTTTTTTTTCCCCATCGTTGCGCAGCATCAAAACTCATTAAGGCTTCTCAATGTGAACAGGATAATTACAGAAACCTGAGAGACGGAAATAATGAGTCTTTGTATGGTGAAGGGAAAGAAAAGTAATTTTGACTCCATTTCAACTTTGAATGACTCTAAAGATTAAAATCGTTTTTTTGGGCTTCTCATTAACAGGTTTTTTTTTCGATACCAGCCGCATAATTCAAAAAGTAAACACCTACCTGATTTGCTGCTGGACTGACGATGCATTTATTCATGTATTCATGGATATTTTTGGGGGGGGAGGGTCATGGGGATCATATCCCAGCATGCTGTGGGCAGAAGACAGGGAAATCAGATCATTATGAAATAAATAGAAAGGTGCACAGTATTCATTCTTGCTTGGCTTTGGATTGTTAGAGGAAATTCTGACACACACAAAACCATACAACCACCATATTTGCACAAGCTACAGTAATATCAATGAAGGGGTGATATATATGTATATATACATGTATATTTGTGGCATCTGCTCGGCAAGCTCAACTTGAGATCATTAAGTTGATACAGTTATCTAATTGTCATGGCTCTTACACTGAGCCCGTTTTTTCTTTTGGGGAGGGGGGGAGGTATCGTTATCAGGAGAATCATGTGATTGGTTGCTTGTGTGCGTCCTTGAGTGAGTGTGCTCCTCTGATTGGTGTCTAGATGGAGGTTTAGCCAATTGTGGGTTGTATTAATTCACATCACATAATACAGCAATGGCCGTTGCGAACACACCTGGAGGAGATTTCCACTCTACTGAGTGCACCTTTCTAGACTAAAAAATATATACTTTTTACGTTTTAAATACACTTCATTTCCTCCACGGTGTTGTTTGCGATTTACACTTGAAACACCCCTCCTGCTCTGACACCTCGCCTGTCAGCCATCACCATTATCAGTACATCATTCGGTTCAGGTTGATTCACATCACCTCTGCTGCACTTAAGTCTGTGCATAAACCACCAGCACAACAACAATAACACAGCAGCAGCGCAGCTCTGAGGTGATTGTGGTACAGATGTAATTCTTGCTTCATGGGCTTCTTGGACAGTTGGGCGTTATTAGTAGCACAGTCTCAGTGTTCACGAGGAAGGCATAATTGTACCCTTAAGTGTATTATATTGGCCTACAGTGACAATAGCAGGTGGCAAGCAGGATTACATAACGTGTGAGTGCGAGAGATAAATGTGAAGGATCACTGGGAGGTAAAGTGAGGAAAAGTGTAAACCACCAATTAAATGAGTTGTTTAATGTATCTGAGTGGTAAACACCATGCACTCAGTGTCTTTTAGTTGTGCGTTTATGCTGCACACTACTCTGGTTTCCTACCTGATGACAACACATTTTTCTGATTGCCTTGGCACAGTTTCTACAACAGTTTGAATGTACAAAAATTCTTAATCAAAGAGCCAAACTGCACTGAAAAGAACTGGCAACAATACATTTTCCGAATATGCTGCATTTTCCTAAGAGAAGCAGCAAACAATAGATAGCTCTGGCAAAGCCTCGTATGTATATGATGAAGCACACACAAAACATGTTCACTCCACCAGTAACTGCAAAGTACACGTTAATCAAATTAGAGTGTTTCTAGTGCTGAGTTTGTGGGTGATAGACCTTTTTTGTCATTATTGATTCTCACACATTATGCCTGAATTTCAACAGGAGTCTGCAGGATTTGAGTCTGCAGGATTTGTACTTTTCAGTAAAAATAAATGTCAATGCAACCATCAAATGCACGACAAAAATGTGTGTGGTTGTGATTAAAGTTAGACTGAAGCTACTCAAAGGTAACTGCAACTTATGCTCGATTTTCCTCATGCGTGCCAGGGCACCATTATCAATTATTGTCCAACAAAAATTGAAATACAAATTTGCATTCCGATGTATGAGAGGTGCAACTGGTACATGCACAAGTAAAGGCATTAAAAGGTGTTGGCTCCCTTGAATTGGCACAAATCACACTAAAAATGAGAATGCTCCAGGAATCAACAGATAAAGGGAGAGTTGGAACTCTGCTTTGTCCTGAAGGGTGAAACATTGTCCTTTTAAAGCAACTGACAATTCACACACTATTATAAAAATCTAAATACACAACACGTATCATCCACATAGCACTGAATCCAAAAGCCCAACACCACCTGCACTGAGCGTCTATTGGAGCCACACAGTTGCCAGCAATTGAGCCTGATTGCCTGAGAAGAGAAGCGTCCACATGGCACCTGAGCCACAATTTCAACAAAAGGGAAGAAATAGATTATAATTATCAACACATTGGAGGAGTTTTGGAGAGAATAGATTGCCCCATTTAAAATAAGGATTTTAATAGTTTTCCCTTTTCAGATAAACAGAAAGTAAGATTATCTTTAGTTGTGTCCCTTGGGAGACATTTGTCTTGGGCAAAGTCAACTTCTGCAATATTTGCTTGATGCGAAAGCGTCATAAATTCTGAAATAGATTCTGTGACAACCACAGTTTAAGGTGTAAACAACATTACTCACATGATTCTCTTCTGTCGCGAATTTTAATTTCTTTCCAAATTATTGCTTGATTATTTTTCAAGTGCATTCAGTCAGACTGTTATCATGGAAACACAGGGACACAATGTTACTTGCACACAGTCACTTTTCACATTTAGTGTTCACAGTCTAGCTGTTAGCAAGAGAAGTTAACAAACTAATTGTTGATGTGAGTGTGTGTGCATGTGTGTGTGGGTGTGTGTGTGAGACAATGAGTGGGCATGCTAAGGAGCCAATAGACCTGACTGGAAACAGGTGGGCCACTTGACACAGTAGGTGAGAACCAACTAAGTCCTCCAAACCCAATCGCCCATGTCATGGCAATCGCATTTAGTTTTAGGATTTCAAATCATAAACATTGTTTTTACCGCTCCAATTCGATGGCCAAGCACAATCACGCACATCCGTTTTTATTTGAGGTGTGACATTTTGTGGCATTTTGGATTCATTTCAAATTATATAATTTTA